TTGTTACTTTCATACTGGTGTTTCGCTTTCTTTTGCCCTTGACATGCTCATCGGTTCGCTGATTGTTACTTGCAGACGCAGTAATCCATGCTTTCTTGAAATCATCCCACCATCATGATATCACCACGCTGGTTAGAATTTGGGATAGTTACTCTTTTTGTGCTGGTATTATCTCGTTGATGACTGTCCAAAGCAGCAAATCAAGTCTTGAACGATTGAAACGGTGTAGATAACACCTTTTAATAACACTCCAGTGGGCTTCAATTATCATTGTTGTTTTTTCAAAAGATATAGTGGATCTAACTGATCGTGCCCACAGGTGCCACTGCTCTAATGAATACCAGTTGGTCCAGAGATAGGCCCATAGTAATCGCAAGAAATTTTCCACGCAGAATTGATACATTTCTCTTACAGCACTTCGTCTGATATCTGTTGATGTCATGGAGTTTCCTTGAGCATCGATAGGTATCAATGGGTGCATATCGAAATGTTTCTGCATCAGCTTCAAAATCGACTCTCGATATGCTAGTGAACAGACAATGTACGTCCTTGAATCACGATCTTCTTGTGTTGGGTAAAAGGTGGGATCAATAAAGTCAAACTTGTTAGTTGCTTTACTGACATTGTAAGCTACGGTACGTAGTTGTATTTCATGTTGTGTTTCATGATCTGTATTGTTTAACGGCTTGGCTTTCTCTTTGAGCTTAAGTTTTAGGGCCTGATTCATGTGCCAAGCGCATAATTGGATTGTCAAAGGTTCCCACACCTTAGTCGCCGCATTAATCTCTGCAAAATCTTTATCAGTAAACACAAATTCTGGATTAATATCACATAACTTCAAGATTTCTAAGAAGCTCTCCAAGACTTTACAACGTCTGTCCGTACTAGTACTCGTATCTGCCTTAGTTGTATCAAGTATAAGATAGGCAATTGGGAAGCCGGTGCCTTTAACTTTTGCTATGACACCATAAAGTTCATAGTGTCCACATGCAGTTTTATAAGTGACATTTAAGTATATCTCAGTAATATTAATGCTGTAATTCTTGATTTCGTTCAGCAACGGTGTAGTAAAACTGATAGCTGTGATCTCCGAATCTTTTATATCAAGGCACAAATGGAAACTATGACTATCGTATTCATTGAGCAACTTGCGAGCGGATTCAACGTGGTCATCATAACGTTGGAATAACTTCCGGCCTGCTATAGACTTCCAGAAGTAAATGCGCTTGGAAGAGTACTTTGAGATATCGAATTCTTAATGTCATAGGTGATTTTTTAAGTCCACTACAGTAAGGTGCGAATGTGTATTGATCTCTTCCCGTAGTTCATTGGGCATCTCAATGCAAAGGTTAGGACGCGGATGGAGAAATTCATGATATATATCCACTGTTATAATACTGAGAATTATATCGACGCGTACTACAGCTTTCCCTTTACAATCATATCGCATTCGTTATTTGCGATTAGAATCTTTATACTCTTCATCCTGTGCGTTTTTCGATTGATAATACAAATAAGAAAAATGACCGACTGCATTTCCGAATTTTCTGAATATGTTCGAATTATGAAAACTTCAATAATATATCTCAGTTAGTAATAATCTAATAAAAATTCATTTCACAAGGTGAAATTACTTACTTCCATGAATAATCATCACCACCTTCAACTTCTGCAATTACAAGATCAGCCATCTCCTTTGCTGTCTTGTTTTGAGTGATGGCAATGTCTAATTGTACCAGTAAGTGAGTCTTATAAGCTACGTCAGCTATTCTATCAATATTTGCGCCAGCTGTTAAATCTCGGATCTCATGTTCGACGAAGTCCCCCACATCAAGATAGTTAATTTTGATTCGCGTGATATCACTGACATGTTCTTGCGATTCTCCTGGCATATCCTCTGCGATTCTAGCTGGTGACATGCGCTCTTTATTCCTTCGATCACGGTTCTCCTTACACCTCCTACATGTCTTGTGATATATACCATCCCAAGTAAATTGATCATCAGGGTGATTGCATTTGCATTTAGTACAGAATATCATTCTTTTAGAATTTATTTGTTTATAATTAGGATTTAGGTATTGAACAGCAGCATGTAAGGGATCTTTTATAATATATTTAATATATTTGTTTTGTAGTTAGCGTTAGGATTTAGGTATCGAACAGCAAAAGAGTAACTTGCTTCAACACGTCCAAGATCACGTGGTCATAAAATAAAGAAATTAAAACTCTAAGATTTAAGCATTATCTAAATTAAACTTGATCAAACCTAATATGACACATTTATCTAATAA